AAATTCACTTGAAAGGATTTTCAAATTAATTTATAAATATTAAAACATAAAATACACTTGAACATTAAGTTGTTTAACAAAAATATGAAAAAAAAATTTACAAAATATAAAATTATCAGAATGTCCATATTGATAATGAATAACTATCTCAATATATAACTAATATAGTATATACATATTAAAAGTCTCATTAATTTAAATATTCTACAAAATTATTAATGAAACATAATATAGACTAAAATAATTTACTTGCTAATTTGATTGTCTTAAACGCAATATATTTTACATCATAGTTCATAACTTCATATACTTAATTACTTGTTAATTTGATTATCTCAAATTCCCCATGGTAATAGTAACTTGTCTACTTAGAACTCAATACATGTAATGAACTAATTCCTATATGCATTAGTTTGTTATATGCTAATTCACCAACAATGATATATGATGCTTACATTTAAATTTGGAGTCCGTTGATATTTGAGAAACTTTTATGAGTCATCTCATCTTAATAACGTCACCCGGACATTAAAATTATAGTAATAGAAAAATTGAGCTTATCCATTAACTTTTCTAGAACTCAATACATGTAATGAACTTCTATATGAATTAGTTTGTTATATGAACTAATTCACCAATAATGATATATGATGCTTAGATTTAAATTTGGAGTCGGTGGATATTTGAGAAAAACTATTATGAGTCATCTCAATAACATCACCCCAACGTTAAAATTAGTAATAGAAAAATTGAGCTTGTCCATTAGTTTTTTTTAGATTTGCTTAAATGAGAATAATTGTTCATCGCCCACTTTTGTTGTAAGAAACCTTAGTAGGACTCATAAAATTTTGTACAACTTGATGGCAATGGGAGGGCCAAGTACCTCAATGCCCATTCCCGTCCCGTTCTAAGCACGAGTTAGGTTGGAAATACACACTCGGATACATAGTGGGACGGTTCGATCCCTCCTTATGTGTTATTGAGAGAAAAAAGTTGATATTTAATTCTTTTACAAGAAAATGTAGAGTAACTAAATAATTGAATGAGAAATATAATATAGGAAATAATGGAGTTTTAAAATTTCTTTGTGGTGAAGGTATGATTTTATAAACGTAAAAAATATGAGATAACAGGTGGACCTTGATGAAAATCATGATAGAACGAGTCGAGAATGGGGCGGGACGAGGCGTGGGAGGTCGAAGCAATATCCATGCTCGCCTCACGCTACTACAGGTTGGATAGTACTCCAACAAACAGGTCGGGCAGTGAGGTCGCACCGATTAGGTCATAAACTACCATCACTACGACAAAATAATTTATCTATGATGCATAGTATAAATTTTCACGTGGATAATGACACAATTGATAAATGTGTCCAGATAACTAGCACAATTGATCTATTGCTGCATAGTGTAATTGTTATATCTTGAAATTTGGTACAATCAAAGTATATTGAAACAAATCATTTAGATCAAGGGACTATGTGTCAAGGATCATAACTAAAATAAGCTCAAACATCCTATTGCCTCCACATTGATGTGAGTAACAATATTACCACGTTGAAACTTTCTCAATAAACAATGTAGTTGATCTAATTATAAACAAGGTTGTTAATAAAGAGGAGCAGACCGTGTCCCCAACTAATTTAAGGACACTTGTTTGACTTTGGTGCGTGACAAATATAAGCATTGTAATTGATCTTTTTAATACGCAAAATACACCTGAATAGCTATAAGTTTCATTTTGTGACTAAAATATCTAACTTCTAAAAAATACACTAAATAGTCATTTCGTACATAACATTAACGACGCCATAATAAATGCTGATTAGACTAGCATTTTGGGGTGATGTGGCAACTTTTCATCCAAAACCAAGTTAGGTGAAAATTATCTTTTTAATTCTTTCTTTTCATTAACTAAAACCAGTAAATAAACTTCCCCTTCCGCCCTTAGACCTCTTCCCCTTCCTCTTCTTTTTCCTGTTCCAGCAGTGGTTGTCGACTTCAACGTCGCTGGTTGAACTTCTCCAGTAGCTTTATCAACAAACAGAGATTTCCTCTCTTTGATGACTCGATCTCCGAACAAGATTTCTTCGCGACAATGATATCCATGTTGCACTTCTCCATCTCAGACTCTATGCATGTTTTGCTCTCGAAGCTCTCCACCTCCTAGCTCTGTTCCACCAATCTTTCAAGATCCATTGTGCAACTGCCGACCAAATCTTACCCATATATGTAACGCATCTCCGTTCCATCCCACCACCTCTTGAGCTTCCCCGTCAACACTACCAAACCCCAATCAATTCATCTTCCATTTTCTCGACAGATACCCACCCAATACCCCCTTATTAACATCGATGTACATAAGCAGTCGACGGATGAAGGGAGGGTGAGAAAGACAAAGAAGAATCCCTCTAAAGGGAAGATGAAGACGACGTGCAGGGATGGGATACGGTCACAACTCCCTTTGGGGGTTGTGAGATTGACCACCCACTTCCTAGCCATTGGATACGCTCTCTTTCCTGTCTTTTTTTTTCTCAAATTGATGGCTAGGATTAAAAGAAGGGTATTTTTGGAATGAAAAAATATTACCACACAGGATCCTTTCTCAATTTCTATATACGCCCTCTTCCCTCTTCCCAGAACCCTAGCCGCCTCCTCCCCCTCCGTCTTTCCATGTCGTCGTCGCCTCCATCTCTCCCTCCTGCCGCATTCATCGCGCCCTCCGCCTCCCACCATCGTCGCAGCGCTCCCGCTGAAGTCGTCGCGCCCTCCGCCTCCCACCACTGCCGCGCCATCACGCTTTCCCTGTCGCCTCCCTCCACCCCATTTCGATGCCATCTCTCTCCCGTCGTCCTCCTCTGTTGCTGCCCTCATCCAATGCTGCCGCCTCCGGAGAGGTAACAAGCTCTCCCCTGCCTTCTCCTTTCCTCATCCCTTAATTTTTTTTCCAGATCTAGGATTTTCCCGATTCCAAATCTGATTTTTTTGATGTTATTCTCTAGTGGTACTAATTTTTCTCTAGTGGTACGCTACCAGTGGTACGCACCCTCTACCACTGGTAGCGTACCACTAGACGATAGTCAGTACCGCTAGCGCACTGACAGAGTGGTTTTTTTGCAGATCGCCGGAGCTAGTCTTATTAGAGGATTTCATCCGGAAAAAGTCTGCCGATCGGAGAAAGTTTGGCGATTGGAGTGAAGAGGCTGCAGAAAATTGTAGTATTTAAATTTTAAAAAAACACGTATTTAATGGGGTTTTAATTCCCATTGTGTAATTAATACAAATAAATTAATAAATTCTGTTTTTTTTTGTCATAACCAAATTGCCATTGGATGTGAAACTCACATCCCCCTTAGGGGAAGTGACGCTATGCCACCCCCGAGGTGCAGTGTTGATCTGTAGACAGGGTGACCAATCTAGAAGTTGGACTGCCAAAGGAAAAATTATGACTTCGGATCTAAAGGATCTCGAATATCAAATGACGAGTAGGCGTCGATTGGGCGATTGAGGTGGGTTACTGCCCGTTTGTTATGGTGGTTGTGGTGGTTGTTGACTTTATGGGTTTCACTATGGTTCTGGTGCTGATTGTTTCGCCTATGGTGGTTACTACCCGCCGATTGTTTCTATGATGGTGGTGATGGTTCCTTCGGTGGTGATGTTTCCGGAGGTGGTGATATTTATGATAGGTCTTCTGCTTCCAAATGAGAAGGTTTTGATTCATCTGGCAGTGATACACTGCCATATGGTGGTTATTCTGATGGGTTGGAGGGAGGCTTTGAGTTGGAGCATATGGTGGTTGTTCCATATGAAACACCATCGTGATTCATGAATCATAAATCATGCGCTAGACGAGAGTGGAGGATCCACAAGAGGACAAGAATGGCTTGGGTGGGACTGGGAGGATGGAGGATGAAGCAAAATCATGCTAAAAGATCATTCTGCCCCTCTCTAAGAACATATTTTTATGAGTTTTTTCAATTAAAATATGATTTGGCACGGTGTATCTAGTTGGAGATGATGTATGAGCTGAGGTGGCATCCAAATCTGCGTCAGGTTGACGTTATTGACAAGTAACAAGGTCTCTGATGTTGTTAAAGTATTTGATGGAAATGGCTAAATTAGTCAAATTAGTTTAAAAAGTGTGGCTACATCTGTGTATTTTTTAATTGGTGGCTATTATTATAAAATGGACAATCATGGCTATCCTCTTGATGTATTTTGCCTTTTTATACAAGTAACGTAATTGATCTAGCTATAGAACTACTTTGGCTATTTTAGGGTTGGTTCTACGGGAGATAAACATTCTACTTTCTAAATTGTTTGTAAAATACTAGGCATGCAAACTTGGACAGAGATATGGAGTCGAGAACTTCCCAATCGTCAATTACATGGGCACAAGGTAAATAAACTAAAAAAAGTTATAAACAAACCATTGTTGTAAAAAAAGAAGGCGCCATATCCAAATCTCAACCCCGATGTTGGCACACACTTCAGTCTCCATCGGACTTTCATACATGCTACACTTGCTACTCCAACATGGTCCTATCTGGAAATGCTCATGGCATGGCAAGAGCCACCTCGCTAATGGTTTCAAGATCCAAGTATTAGCCTCGTTTTCTCGATGAATTCGAGTCTATAGTAATTGACTAATTTCGTGGTCTTCCTTTTCATTTTAAATAGTATTGTTATAATTGATTTTCTGGGTAACATTAAAGTCTTGCATAGTCATATATATATATATATCAAATAGATTGGTTTGTTTCAAAATCTATCTCATATCAGTATTACTCGATCTAATTCATATTTAATGTGACAAATATTAATATTGAGATATTCATCCTCCCCTCATTATAAGAGTGTACAAAAACGACACAACGATAAAATAACTTATGAAAATGTTACTAAATGTTAATTCATTGATGATGGTATGGACTAACTATATCACAAAAGTTTTACACTTTCTTTCCTATATATAACGTAAGGCTAACGGTTGGCTTCATAATTTTGATGGTAAAATGAGAGCAATACCAGTTCGACCCTTCCAATTCCTCAAACCCCCATTTTCCTCTTTCCCCTGCATTTCCTCTCTCTCTCTCTCTCTCTCTCTCTCTCTCTCTCTCCTCACCCTAATCCCCTCACCCCGCCGGCGGTGAGATCACCCTCCCCCACCTTCTCCGTCACTTCCCAAGCCAAAATCCCCAAAAGGGTGGGGAAACAAATTTAAAAATATGCACCCTAGAAACCAATTTTACAAGAAAACAGAGGAAGGAAGAAGAACAAAAAACGAAGGAATCTCTAAGGGGGTAAAGGAAGAAAGAAGAAGAAGAAACCCATTACAATACTCTCTAATTCAATTTTTGGGTCTTTCTTTTTCCTTCTCCATTCCCCGCATTTTGAGAGTATAAATACTCGTGTCCAAGTTTTTTCCTTGAAGGAGTTTCTTCAGGTCCGCTTTTGGCCATGGCGGACATCGTGAAGGAGATCTTGGCACGACCAATCCAATTGGCCGACCATGTCACGAAAGCAGCCGACGAGGCCCAATCTTTCAAGCAAGATTGCCAGGAGTTGAAATCTAAGACAGAAAAACTCGCCACCCTCCTCCGCCAAGCTGCCCGCGCTAGCAACGACCTCTACGAACGACCCACCCGTCGTATCATAGATGACACCGTACAAGTCCTCGATAAGGCCCTAACCCTAGTCATAAAATGTCGCGCCACTGGCATCATGAAGAGGATGTTCACAATCATCCCAGCCACCGCCTTCCGCAAGCTCTCTGTCCAGCTTGAGAACTCAATAGGAGACGTCTCTTGGCTCCTTCGCGTCTCTGCATCTGCTGATGACCGAGATGATGAATACCTCGGCCTCCCACCTATTGCCGCCAACGAACCCATCCTATGCCTCATCTGGGAACAAATTGCAATCCTCTACACGGGCTCCTCCGAAGAAAGATCTGATGCAGCCGCCTCCCTCGTCTCCCTCGCTAGAGACAATGATCGGTACGGCCGCCTCATAATCGAGGAAGGGGGAGTCCCGCCGCTGCTCAAATTGGCAAAAGAGGGGAAAATGGAAGGCCAAGAAAACGCTGCCAGAGCAATAGGGTTGTTGGGCCGGGACCCGGATAGTGTGGAACAAATTGTGAATGCTGGGGTTTGCAATGTGTTCGCAAAAATACTCAAAGAAGGTCACATGAAGGTCCAGTCAGTTGTAGCTTGGGCCGTGTCGGAATTAGCTGCACATCATCCCAAATGCCAAGACCATTTTGCTCAGAACAACATAATCCGGTTCTTGGTTAGTCACCTGGCCTTCGAAACTGTTCAAGAACATAGTAAGTACACCATTGTGAACATGAACAAGCAAAACTCTATTCATTCAGTTCTCGTAGCTAGCAATAGCCAGAACTCGCACGATAGAGAATCCGAGGAGGATTTAATAGTCCCAAAAATCGCCCACCCAATGAACAATCAAACCCCATCTCAAATGCAAAATGTGGTCACTAGCACATTAGTTCAGAACCAACCACCAAATAACAACAACCAAAAACCGTCAACCACAACACCATCGTCATCCTCTTCGAACTTAGCAGGAGCCCATAAGAAGAGCCCTAGTCCCCATAAGCCAAAAGGGAAGAATCAGAATGGCAAACATCACCACCACCACCAACACCACCGTGTTCAATTATCTGGGACGAGCATCAAGAAAAGAGAGCAAGAAGATCCAGCCACAAAAGCCAACATGAAAGCAATGGCAGCTCGAGCACTATGGCAACTAGCACGAGGCAACGTGACGATATGTCGTAGCATAACAGAGTCACGAGCACTACTCTGCTTTGCCATCTTGCTCGAGAAGGGAGCAGAGGAGGTGCAATCATATTCGGCCATGGCGTTGATGGAGATCACCACGGTAGCAGAGCAGCATGCAGACTTGAGGCGATCAGCCTTCAAGCCCACATCACCTTCTGCTCGAGCCGTGGTGGACCAACTCCTCAAAGTGATCGAGATAGCAGAGTCGGACCTATTGGTCCCATGCATACGAGCCATAGGGAACCTAGCCAGGACTTTTCGTGCCACCGAGACGAGGATGGTGGGGCCATTGGTGAAGCTATTGGATGAGAGAGAGGCTGAGGTGATGGTGGAGGCAACTGTGGCATTGAACAAGTTCGCATCCACAGAGAATTTCTTGTGTGTAAACCATTCCAAGACTATTATCGCCGCGGGAGGGACAAAGCATTTGATTCAGTTGGTTTACTTTGGGGAGCAGATGATTCAAATCCCTTCCTTGATCATGTTGTGTTACATTACAATGAATTGTCCAGATAGCGAGGTGTTGGCGAACGAAGAGGTGCTTATCGTGCTCGAATGGTCAATGAAGCAAGGGCATTTGGTGGAGAATGTGACAATTCAAGGGTTATTGCCAGAAGCAAAGAGTAGGTTGGAGTTGTATCAATCTAGAGGGTCAAGAGGGTTTCATTGATATATGTGTTAATTAGCCTTTTGTGAGCTTGTTTTCACTTTACTTAGCCACCTATGTTCATATAACCCAAACTTTTGTACAAGTTGGCTTTTCCTTTGGCCAAGGGAAAACGTGTACATATGAAGAAGAAGGAAGCATTTTGCGGCTGAATCTATGAACATATAGCCGCAACTATCTGTGATCATTCCAGCCTTAGCAGGCCGGATTTGGTGCATTGTAGTGAGAGGATTTGTTTCCTTCTTTCTTTTGTTTTTTACCTATAATTGCTCATTCTTCTTGCCCCTTTTGGACCTTTATTCCAAATTGAATCAATTGTGACAAACTTCCTCAAGTTTTGGCGTGTATTGGCTTGGTTTTCTCTAAAGTCTTGAATTTGGGGAAAAGGAGGGAAAGGAAGCTTGAGTGTTTAGTGTGTATGGAAAAAAATTGGTCAATTACATATAAGGTGATGGAATTTTTGGGCAACTAGCATTTGGGTACCTAATTTTTTATTTCTAACAAATTTGGTTGATGTTCGGACTAATTAATATTAATGTTACTCGTCTATTTAATTTCTCGACCCACATGTCTATATCTAAATGTGAGTCCACAAAAGGAAGCCACTTCAATCGGGTTATGATAGTGTCAGTGAATTTTTTATTACTATTTTTTGTGAATTGAAATATTGATCATACATCAACATATCTTGTGAGATTTTATGTTTGTTAACTAGTACGGTAAAGACAACAATGACTAGACTAAACGAAGGAAGCAAGTGTCTAGTGGATTCCAAAGACGACAAAGTAAAATATTGGTTTTTTCAAAACCTTTTCCACCAATTCATGTCCTTTCTTTTTTCCTTTTACAAAGTAGATCACTCTACAATCTTTTAAAGTCGAGAAGAAAACCTTTTCAAATAATGACACACTTGAACTCAAAAGGGAGGCTTTGATTCCATGACATGTGCTTCTCTTGGCATATGTATTATTTGCCCTTACCCCCCAAATGTAACTTTAACATTTTAGCTTAGAATATGTATGTAAATGTTCATCCCTTAAGAACTCAAATATCCATAAACCTAATTAGATAAGGTGATACCCCTATGAAAATGAAATGACATCAATTTACGTGATGTGTACCACTCAGCATTGGTATAGTTATATAGTTTTATAGCTTATAAACACTTCAGTAGTCTACTAAATAATCAAAGGATCTAATAAATATTTGAAACGAAAAAAAAACTATGTCCGACATTAATGATTTCTCCTATCACAACCAATTGGAGATTATTAGTCAACCATGAGCTCTCAATATTTAATTTTTGTCAACAACATCATGCCAATTGTAAGGATAAAAAAATAAGATCATTGAAATTTGGGTAATTCACCTGGAGTTTTTAGATATTACGAACTCAAACTGTTCTAAAATGAACCCACAATTCTTTTGTGAGATATATAAGTCGTTTGTTTTTTTACTATCAAATTCACATACAATTTAAGTATTTAACTATTAAATTTGATTTATTTGTTTTTTAATAAATATTCACTACACTATGAATTGACATTTTTTATTACATTCGTAGCTCTCTCCTCCTTTCTTTATGTAATCTTTGGGAAGAGGGGTAAACGAGAGAGAAGTAAAAAGGAGGGTAAACACAAAATTATATACATTTTCTCTCATTTGATTTTTGTTTGAAGAGTGTGGAGGGGGATTAAATGAGGGGCATATATATTATTTGCCCTTACCCCCCAAATCAGGATGCAATGAGAAAAAGGCAAAAGGCGCTTGTTGTTGGTGGATTTTCTTTGCCCTCTAATTAATTAAACAAATTATTGATGAAAATTATGTCTCAAGCCAACAACTCTCAAACAATGGAAGATATAGATCTAAATAAATTACAATGTTGGCTGAAGCTTCGATCTACACTCCAATTGTCGAATAAAAAAAGCTGACTAGTCATAAGTTTGCCAAAGATTTCGTTATAGTTTGCTTATGATCTGGTCGTCAAAAAAAGTACGATCTTCAGTCGCAACATTCTGCACGGGTTAACATCATTGTTCACCGTTGTTTGATGTCGTCAAATGCCATTCCCACCTCATCGGCGATGTCGTTCCTCCTCGTTAGCCATCAATTTTCATATTGTCTTTCCTCAAATTGTGGCTGGCCCATTTGAAGTATATTATAAATTAGAATTAGTTTAGGACTGAATGTAATATTTTTTTTGTATAACTTATCGTTTTGTAATTTGTTATTTTGGACAGATATAAACGCAATAATGGATAATGTATTATTTACCTTTTGGTAAAATAAAATTATGGTCCTTTCTCTGTCATAACATGGTATCAGAGCAGTTACTCTCGTTGTGAACCACCCCTAATACTACTACATCAGTTAAGGCGATTAGGCGATGATGCAACTCGTGTCGGTCGTTCTCACCGGACCAAACTACCATTCTTGGGCTAGTTCCGTGCACTTCAGCCTTCTATCGAACAACAAGATCTCATTCGTAGATCTATCTGTCACGATGCCTTCCGCCGAAGATCCGTTGTTTTAAGCTGGTGAGCAGTGCAATACGCTAGGTCTTGGTTGGATTCTTTGTTTGCTCCCGATGAAGATCCCGCAAAGTGTTTTGTGGCTGAAAACTACGGTTAAAGTCTGGTTAGACATTAAAGAGCACTTCAGCTTTGCTGATCTAGTTCAGATTGCATATTTGCAAGATGAGATTTAAGGATTAAAGCAATCCGCTCAGTGTGTAGGTGCGCTCTTCACCAAATTTAGGGTTGTATGGGATGAATTGACTACTTATCATTATATTTGTGTCTACGCTCGCCTACCTATATGCTATTATGCTGAATACATGAGAGCAAAGTAAGTAATTAGGATTTTTAGAGGGCTTAATGATGAATTTGAGTATGTGAGGTGTTCTATCCTACTGATGGTTCCATTACCCTCTATTAACAAGGTATTTTCCATAGTAGTCTGACATAAGCATCAAACCCGTACTATAAACTCTAGTTCCACTAATCTTACGGTCTGTGTTATTCAAACTGGTTAGGATAAAGGAAATAACTAGTCTAAAAACCATGTATGTACCTTTTGATGCTTAATTGGACATACTATTGACCATTGTTTCAAGAAACACGGGTATCCTCTTGGATACAAGCCTCGTCCTAAGGTTAATGTAGTATTCGGTGAGCATGTTGGTATTGGTAGTTCTATTTCTGGTGAGAAGGGATGTGTTCTTTACGATTAAATTGTATTGTCACTGCAACATTATCGTGCCCTAGTTGTTCAGTGTCACCCACAAGATCTCCCTACTGTGCCTACAATCATTTTTGTTGCTTCTGGCCTTAATGTTGAACAACCCCATCATCTGATGGCCTCTACCTCCACTATTCCTCATGGCCATGATGGAGGCAAGTATATTTTAACCACTATGTTGCCTCGACCTGTTACAAACTGGATCCTAGATAGCGGTGCTTCTGATAATGTAGTTTCTAACATTGCCGATCTGGTTTCTTTATTGTTATGTATGATGTTTTTGTGTCCTTACCAAATGGAACAAGAGTTTTTGTCACTCATATAGATTCTGTTTGTTCAAGTGAACACTTAATACTTAAAATAGTTTTGTTAATTCCTCAATTTGGGTTTAATTTAATATAAGTTTGCAAATTGAGCAAGGACTTTCTTTCATAATCACTACCTCGTACAGGATCTGACCTCCTGGAAGATGATTGGTTAACACACGCGGGTTGCTTTAAATTTCTAAAGTCGAAGAACACCTACTCTAACCCTAGCAATGACAAGTATATCAATGGTAGGATTATAGTGAAGTGGCTCGACCATATTCCAAGGGTACCTTAAGTTTGTTATTACTTTGCTCTGAACTACTATCTGATCAAATCAGAAGGTTGGGGTAGAACTAACTTAACCTAACTAAAAACTACCAACCAAGTGGTTGGGAGACTGCTAGAGATGAGATGGTTGTCTAGGGTCGACTCCCTCTAGCTATAGGGTGATGCATGTTGAAATATAATGGTGCATTGATGTTCGAAGTTCATGAAGGTGGGGATCAACTCAATGGTCATGCAATCGACCCCCCTCCTAGCTAGGTGCACCGGCCCAATGTCACCTCAACTTGTTTACCCAACTTGGGATTTGGTTCTACCTCCTCTAAATGGCTTATATCCGTCCACACACAAGTCGATTAAGTCGACTATCATACACTTACTTGACAAGTATCAACTAGTAAAGAATCTAAGTAGAAGGGGATGGTTACCTCGACCTTTTGCTAGGTCTCTAGGTCATCTAATCGAGGTAAGAAGCATTTACACACATCTAAACCCTAATTATAAGAATTAAGCAGTCTAGTTCAACCTAATTGTACCATAGATTAATGTGCAAAGTAATGATAATTTCCCTATTATCTAGGTTTCAACTAAGGAAAATGGGATATAGACAATCCCACACTAATTGATGGTTATGCTAATCTTGTCCTAAGTTGCTGGAACTCTTACCTAGGTTAAGAACAAACCAATCACAATCAAGCAATATATTCTTATGCACAAACATCAATAGACACAGATAAATAGGTCCATAATCAAGCTTACATATGACCCATACACAAACTATAAGCTAGGGTTCATCTTCCGTAAACAACCATAGGGACTCAAGCCATAGAGAGAGAAAGGAAATACAAACTAAGAAGATGGGAAATTCTTGGAATCATCTTCTTCTCCTTGGATTGCACCTTCCTCCTTGATCCTTGGATCAATTTGACCTTTTCCAACTCTCTGAAGGTGTTTCTCTCTCTAAAAATTACCCAAGCACCCTAATTTCTCACTCTAGATCGATTTTACTTCATTAGTGCAGAAAATGGGATATTTATTGAGTCTTGGTGTTGATCACGGCCTCAAGGACGAGACCCAATGGTCACAGGCACGACTAGGCTATAACAAGGTTAAAATGACACCAAATCACCCAAACCTTTGCATCTTGTCATTGTCTTCAAGTTCCAAGATTGTGGCCTCTATCATGAGATCATAGACGCGATATTTGTGTCACGGTCACGATTTTTTTCGTTGTCGAAAAGCCCCTTGGCTGCGAGTCGGGTGTCGAGACCTTCTACCCTCTTGTTGGCTACTTGCTGAAGTTCACGACTATTGTTCACGACCGCGAACATTGTCACTACTTGGTCACAAATGTGACGTGATCGAGACTTGTGCTTTATCTCCCTTTCTTGCTCCTATGCAATGCAAACATGCCCAAATGAACTCCAAATGGATTTCCAATCAGTTGTAAATGAATATAAGACCTAGAATTTCCTCACAAACACAAAAAAAAAACC